ATATATATAAATTAAATATTAATATTAAATAATTATATTTAATTTAAGGTATTATATATTAAATATTAATATTATATATATATATATACACGTATTAAAAACAAATTAATGTGCCTAGAACGGCCCGTTCCGAAAGTGGAACGGCCGTTCTGGGGTTATAAAGTACTACGCAAAGGCCAAAAGTGGAACGGCCCGTTCCAAAAGTGAAACGGCCCGTTCCAAAATTAGAACAGCCCGTTCTGCTTTCTTATTTTTCTCATAACATGCATTTTTGGAACGGGCCGTTCCGGGACCGTTCCAATTTCCACTGGCAGCAAAAATACCCTGCATAATTGATTATGCTTGCCTGCATAATCGATTATTGCCACATAATCGATTATGGCCTTGCATAATCATAATCGATTATGCAAGGCCATAATCGATTATGCAAGGCCATAATCGATTATGCAAGGCCATAATCGATTATGTGGCCAATCGATTATGCTCCTTCGTTGAACGTGAATCCTCTGCACATGCATGGCAGGGGCATTTTCGGATTTTCACAAATCCTACGTGTCTTTCACCTCTTTTCTTCCCTCTCGTGCGAGGAGAGCAACAGTGCTTCTCCTCGCTTTTCTTCGCCTTTCCATCGTCGCAAATCGGTAGAAACAAACGCCAACTTTTCTCGCCTTTTGCTGCTCGTAAACAGTAAATCACCCGAAACAAGCACTACGTCAGATAGAGAGAGATGAACAAACATTACGCGACTCTATGAAAAAAGTAATAATTCTTGTGTGATGTGGACTCACAGAAAATCACCTAAGCAACTTTATATCGGAATATTAGCAATGGAAATGCTTTAGAGACTAGAAATCCCAATTATGATGGCCATCAAAAGTATGAGTCGTGTTTCATGGTTGTAATCTTGTCGCTGTGTACTGTGAAGATGATCAAATTGATGCCACCAACGAATCGCACGACACTAGCTGCAGAGAGCGGCTTCTCGAAAGGAAATAAAATGAAAAAGAAAATCATCGTAAACTAAAATATGAAATAACACACTCCATATTTACTTGCGATATGAAACGGCATAGTAAAAGCTCAAGCCCAAATAACTTTATTCGAACTGAATGGACCACGCAACGCTAAATTAATTTCGTCATTTCCATGGCCTTTAATTTCGTCATTTCCATGGCCTTTAGTTGTTAGGGGGAACCCACTTTCAACAGCGTTGTCAACTCTGATAAATTAATCAACTAGTGAGTGAGTGTTGTTGGTCCGTATCTATTTCCTTTTAATGATATTTTTAAGAAAAGAAATGTAAAGATAAGTAGAGAAGAATGTCATTAAAATAAAATATAAATATAATAAGCAAAGAATGTCAGTGATATATTACTATTAAAAAAAAATATTTAAATTCACATTTATTAAAAAAATTAGTTCAATTTATTTAATTTTATTGATTTTATATAAAAATTAAATTTTACTTTCTAAATTATCCTTAATAATGTTTATTAGAAAGGATAATAACATTTAATTTAAGATATTTTAAATATTTATTAATGGCATTTAATTTAAAAGATATTTTTAAAATGATAAAACTAAATAAGATAAGTTTATTAAAATTTGTTTGTATTTAAGTTAAAAAAAATTAGATACTCGATAAGTTTGTTAAGATTTATTTATATTTAAGTATAAGTTTGTTTTATGTTTTATGAATCTAGAGAGAGTATAACAGCGACCATATATAAAATGGTAAAAAAAAGGACGTCATGTAACAATTTGTATGATTAGACGGTTTAAATTTTATATTTGTTGTCTGCGTTCTAGTTAAAAAAAAGAGAGGTATAAATTGAAGTGTAATGAATCCCCAGGCGAGTAGAAGTGAAGGAGATATGAAACATTGAAGATGGGAATAATTACATGATGTATAAAATGAAGGGAGGGGCATCAACATCAAGCCCAAATTGCGAGGGAAGACATCAAGCCAGCCCCAAGGAAAAGCATAGAATAAGAAAGTATCTGCAACCTAAAGTTACAACTCATTCTCTTGCTAAGAAAATCCGCAGCAATCAAATCTACCAAAGCCATATACACTAAAATCCCCGAGGACAAGGAATCCAAGATGCCTTCGGCAATGAGTGCAGCGGGGCTGTAAGGGTTATAGCCGGAAGAAATGGCCGTCCCAATGGCAACACCCAAGGGTGTAGTGAGCGCAAAAAAACAAGCCATTATGGTTGCCGAGGAGGCCTTGAACTGCGCTTGAGAAATGCAGCCTCCAAGCGCAAAGCCTTCAAAGAACTGATGAAAGGATAACGCCGCAATCAGAGGGCGTATGGTACAAGGACTCTGAGAAACACCTAGAGACAACCCTATTATCACCGAATGAGATACGATTCCAAGCTCCAACACCTGCAATGCACACGTGTCACGCACCATAACTAACTCAGCCACAGCCAGGATACTAATTTGTTATTAAATTAATGAATTAATTATACCTGCGAAACGACGACGTGTCGAAGGTCAGTTTCTTCCCCATCGTCCATGTGGGAGTGGACTTGTTCCTTGACGGTTGCATTGCCATGACATGCGTCATGGCCATGGGGGTGGTTGTGCCTGTGATGCGCGGCATGTGCATGCATCCCAACGATGTGCATTCCGCCGCTTTCCTCTTCCCCGAAGACCTTGACGGAATCGGAGGAGCCCACCCGCGCTTGTTCGTCGGAGGAGCGGTTGAGTCCCTGCTTGCGCTCGTAGTACTGCGTTCCAAGGAAATCGAGGAGGAGCGTCAAGAGAGCAGCCACCATGGCGAAGAAGCCGGTGAAGGGGAACTTGGACCACGGGAAGGGAGGGAGGCAGGGGTGCTGGAGCGCTTCGGAGGCGTCGGAGAGCATGTGGACGAATCCCGTGGCCAGGATGACTCCGGCGGCGAAGGCCTTGGCAGCCACGAAGAGGTTGCCGTCGGTGCGGAGGAAGCGGCGGTGGCGTCCGACGAGCGGGATGGCGATTCCTGCCATGCCGGCGAGGAGGATGGAGGCGATGGCGACGAATTTGAGGACGAGCGCGGCGGAGTCGTCTCGGCAGAGGTCAGAGTCATGGCCGGCGCAGGTGGAGTTGGTCATGGATTCGGGTTTTTCTATTTGGGAAAAAGGAGTTTAGAATATAATGGATGATGATTGATTGACCTATAGGCTATATACATAGGAATAGGAGTGCGAATTGTGGGAATTAGACCTTGCAATCCGCCTCTAATCTTAATTAGGCATAAAAGAAAGATGAAAGTGGATTTACATTTACCTGATGAGGAAGTAGGAGTTATTTTCCCAACGATGTGCTGGAGCAGTGGCCAGAGATCCTAAAAAAGAGAACAAGAGTGAGAATGAATTGGTCACATGGAGAAGAAGAAGAAGAAGAAAAGAGAGGAAACCTGAATAAAAATCATGGGAGGGGATGGGAAAGAGAACAGGAGAAAAACAAGTATAAATAATGAAGAAGCAGTGCAGAGGCGTGTTGGCGAAAAAGAAGAGGAGTGTCGTCATATCGAGGAGAGAGGGGTGGGCGAGGAAGAGGTGGATGCTTCGGTTGGGACTTTTTGCAATACAATGAGCGCGATAGTGTCGACATTCTTGCATCACCTGTCGTCGTTTCTTTTTTTCTACTTACGCCGCTCATACCCTTATTATATTTATTCATCTCCTATTAGCTATTACTATACCATATATTTACTATTATTTCAATTTCTTTTTTTTTTTATTTAACTACAACCCTTTTTTTCTCTTCCAACACTAGCTAGGATATCTATGCATAATACAGTCATTAATTCCATATTTCAATTCACATCATGTCATTCTCATCTCAACCACATCTGGGTTTTACAATTTAATTCTTATCACTTACTGAAGAGACATTAGTCTCTTCTCATTCATGTCCATTTTATTTGATTTTTAATTATCAAATTTAAATTATATTTATAATTATAATTATTAGCATTCACTTAATGATGAAATTTAAATAATATTTACATAATTTTAAATTTTAAATGATTACACACATATGTTATGACAATCCCACCCTTCCTGTTTGACTGTTTCTGCTCCCTTTGGGTTACAAATTCATGTGACTGATATTACAATAATAATAACAGTAAAGTATTATAAAAAATATATATAAACAAACCTGTTCAGGAGTAGGTTTTTAGGACAAACTGACATTGAATCATTTATTTATTTGAAGTACGACATTTTTTAAGACCTACTATCAGTTCTTTATATTTTGTTTGGATGATGAGAACAAATAAAAAATAATAATATATGAGGATTGATTTGATAAAAAAAATTTTAAATAGAATATAATTTATAATTATTTAATAGAATTAAATTACATAAAAAAATAATGGAGTGAAAAATGATATTTTAAAGTTGTATTTTATATAATTAAATTTTTATATAAAATAAATATTATTTTATCCTCACTTTAGGGTATATTTTAAATTATTATTTTTATTATTATTAACACACACGTGTATATGTATATATATACAAATAATTTAATTTAAAAATTATAAATAAAAATCATTTTCAATATTATTTTATTTTTAAATATTAAATAAAATTATTATTATTATTATTATTATTATTATTATTATTATAAAATCCCCAATAAAATTTTACATGTTGCACCTAAATGGAAATCACTACTAACAATTTCATAAAAGTACCCTTAAATCAATTAACATTCAAATGATTTATATAACTCTATGCAAATATTTTGGAAGTTATATATGTCATAAATTTAACAATGTGTTGTTATTGTATTGTCTTTGCCAAAAAAAAATAGGTTTACTACAAAATCAATGTAAAGTTAAAAGACAATATTTGATCTCTTAAATTTTCAAGTTTTAATAATAACAAATATAACATTTTTCTAAAGGGAAGAGATTTTTACATAATACAAATCAAACGAAAGCATTAGTCGCAAACATTTAGACACATGATGTGTCATCAAATAAAACATATAATTTTACTTCATAAAGTCTCAAATGCATATTATTTATAATGAGTAATAACTACTTGCTACATAACTAACTGATTCCTTAATAAATCAAACTAAGAAAGCTCATTAAAACTCACAAATTTGTTAAAATGAATGAAATCATGTTGTGAATAAGAAACAAGGACAAATGGATCCCTGAAATAACATAGAAAGTTAGTAAAAGTCAATGTAGAATCTGTTCTTTGTTGATACATGCCACAGATAGTTCGTTTGGTACCCTAAAGCTAATAAATAATCCCCTTAACTAGATAAAAAGGGACAATTTGGTGAAAATGCAAGTAATGCAAATATTTAATACATAAACAAACACTTCTCATATCAAATAACTTGTAATGAAGTCATACAAAACAAGCTTGTGATGAATCTTCAAAGTTTTGTAATGATCATCTTCATCCAAACTACTATATAAGAAACTTCAAAATTAGAAATAAGGATAACTTTTTGTACATAATTATCATTTATTCATCCTTTTCTATTAAGACTTTTGTTTTTAATTGGTTATATTATGTTTTATCTATGAAACGAAACAACATTTGTAAGATTTTATCCAAATATAACTGTTGTTATAGGATTAAGCATAAAGAGACTTATTTGTGCTTTTAGTCATAATGTCTAATCTGCAATTTCGGTCCTCATCAAATTTTTAAATTTGTAATTTAGTCTCACTATTTTACAAAATTCACAATTTTGGTCCTCTTACCGAATATTTATCCCCTAATTAATAAAATTGTAATGTCACTTATGATATAACTTTAAGTAAATATCATAATTATTAATATTTAGTAGTATTTGAGCTAAAATTTACTCATAATTCACTTTTTTCTTATAAAAATAGAATAACGAGATAAAAATAAAATTATAAAAAATAAAATTTAATCTAAATACTATTAAATATTAATTATCATTACATCTACTTAATGTGATGCTATGTTCAATATTTTAATTTTAATGATCAATGGAACAAAGAGATTTTATAAAATCAAAGATTAAAATTACATATTTAAAAATTGAGGAACCAAAATTACGGATTGAATATTATAAAGGGACCAAAAATGTATTTTAACTTTGATTAAATAAAGGTATTTTAGAAATATATAATTAATTTAATTGGCAATTAAAAAATAAAAAAAATAATGAAAATGGTATTATATATATATATATATATATATATATATATAAAGATGAAAATAGTATTTACTAATGAGAAAATTATTTAAAAAATATTATCTTTTAAATAGTTTAAACAAAATGTATGATCTTAAAAATACTTTTATTATTTTTAGTTATTTATCTTATTTGTTAAATTCATTTTAATCCTTTATTTTTTGAAATATTTATTTTAATATTTTATTTTTTATATTTAAATCAATTTAAAACTTTTAAAAAATATTTATTTTTTAATTTTGTGACACGATTTTAAACTAAATTTTGAATGATTCAAAACGTAAAACTTATATCATTATATTTAGTTATATAAAAGCTATGAAATTGAATTGATGTTCGAAGATTATAGTGAAAATCATATAAAAAATATATCTTACAAGTAATTAAAAAATAACATAAAATTAATTTATAAAGTTTTCAATTGTTTTTTACACTTATGTTTATACGATTGTCACTATGTTAAAAAAATTTCTAGGGTAAATTTTAGTTGCATTCAATCATTTTTATATAAGTAAATTTATTAAGATAAGTTTTAAATCTTGAATTATTAAAAAAATCAAAATTTTATTTTTAAAATTAAAAATAATCATCCTTTAGATTGAATCAATCTAAATTTAAAAAATAAAAAATAAAAGAATGAAATCAACCTTTATCAAAATAAATTTTATATAAATTATAGCCTATTGACTTAAAAAGTATTATTCTATCATTAAAAAAAAACTTTTATAGTAGATGTAATGTAAAGAGTATTTGTTAGAACTCAATTTCATAAAGTGCTCTTTATAATAGAGGTAAAGAGCATTTACTAGAAAGCATTGACCTGGGTTCATTAGTGGCAAAATTTTCTCAACAGTTATCATCCAAAAATAATAATAATATTGTAAAGACATGTAAACCTGAAGAGCATATGCAAAATCCATTAAAGTTTGAGAAAGGAACAACGATATAAAACGGTTGTTAAATTTTTCTTTGTGTACAGGTATAATGTGAGGGATTAGTTTCTGAATATTGCTTAAATGAAACTTTCATTTTTTTTTTTTAAATGTTCTCAGGTATTGCATGTAAAAGAAATCTTCTAAACAGTTTTGCATCTAACTGAGTTTAAACTACAACTCAACGTTAGGATAATTCATTGTTCTCTATTGTGAAAATTGTTTGTGTAACGTAGCAAGTTATTTTAGAAGGTCCAAAAGTCCAATATGAGTGATTCAGTAGCCCAGAACGGACCGTTCCCAAACTGGAACGAGCCGTTCCAAACTACTGAATTGACCTATAAAATATAGTTGAGAATGGGCCGTTCTGGATGGAGTACGAGCCATTCTGGAAGGAGAACGGGTCGTTCCAAACCCCAAAACGGGCCGTTCTGGAGGGAGTACGGGCCGTTCTAGATGGAGAACGGGCCGTTCTGGATGAGTCCCAGAATGGGCCGTTTTGATTTCAGAACGGGCCGTTCTGCATGTGATTTTTGTACGTGTTGAAGGGGTGCAGAACGGGCCGTTCTGGATTCGGAACAGGTCGTTCTGGCCACTCCGGAACTTCTATAAATAGAGGTTGTGTGGTTGAGGAGAAAGTGAAGTTTTTAGAGAGAAGTTTTAGAGAGAATGACTCTGGGTCTGTGAGCTCCTTTCTGTCCCAAATTTCTCTATATGATTCATTTTCTCCTCTAGATCACTAATGCCTTCTATTTTTTTTTTAAATTCAGATTAGGAAGCTTGCTTTGGGAGGATTGAAGTTCCGGGTTGAGCTTCGAAAGAGAATTCTACTTTTTCTCAGTTATTGGCTATTTTGAGCCAATCTTCAAGTGAGGGAAGCTAGAATGTTTGTTGTTTAGGTTGCATGTGAGTTTAGAAACTCAATTGATGCATGAATGTTGAGAATCCATAGATGGATTGAAGAAAATCTCATTTTTGGGGTTTTGTGAAAAAAGAGGATTTTGATGATTTTGATGATTTTGATGCATAGGTTGGAAGCATGTGAGGTTTAAGTTTATTTTGAGTTGTATGGAGCCTATGCATTGTGTTTTGTGTTTGCATGTGGTTGGATTTGTTGGTTTGGATGAGAGTTTTGAAACTCTTTGACTAGGTTTAAGCTAGGCGCAGGTTGAGCGCGCCAGGTGTGGAAGAGCTTAGGGCTCTCGGGTTGGTTGTTGAGCCAGGCGTGATTTGGTTGCGTCAGGCGTGGAGACTCTTAGGAGTCTCTGTCTCAAGAACACCGAGCGTGAGTTGAACGCGTCGGGTGTGGATGAGTTTTAGGGCTCTCGCGTTGGGATTAGGCTGGGCGAGCTCAGGCTGCGCCGGGCGTGAACATATTTATGAATGAAATGATGCTAATGCATGTTAAGTTGAAGTTTTGGATCATGTATGTATAATATATGATATATGATGAGGTGTGATTCATATGTATGCATAGCGATGATATATATATGAATGTTTGAATATGATATGACATGTGTATATGTTCATATGGGTATGTTTATTGATCATAATGGTGGTAGACCATGTATGATGTATGATGCATTATTGCATGTGATGCTTTATGGCTTGAGTATGTTTATTGATCATGATGGTGGGTAGACCATGTATGATGTATGATGCATTATTGCATGTGATGTCTTATGACATGTATATGATTGTTGACCATGATGGTGGACAGACCATGTATGATGTGTGATGCAGAATTGCATGTGATGCCTTATGGCATGAATCTAGCCTAGGACTTGAGGAGAGGAAAAATATTTTTGAACTGGAAGAGCTCACATAGAGTCTCTTGAGAGTGGTGCTTGGATAGGCCACTGATATATGAGAGTGGTGCTCAGATAGGCCACTAGATTTGGGAGAGTGGTGCTCAGGTAGGCCACTGGGTTGAGTGAGTCTCCTCTAAGTCCTTAGCTAGTGTTAGAGCGGGGTATGAGGTCGAGGGTTATTCCCTTAACCAAGTACTCGGGAAGGTGCGTGGACCCTTGCGGATAGTCGGTGGGCGAACTCCATAATTGACTTGGTTATGCATGTCAAGGTCGTGGTAAGCCCGTACCCAACTGTGCTATACTTGACGATGGATCTGGACTTCCAATTGTGTAAGTGACATCATCCGAGTAAACCCGAATGCGGATTATATCCTGTTTAGTTGTGACCGAGCGGGCGCATTGGGCGTGAAAACGATTGGGGTGGTTTCGGTAGGATGGAATGTCACTTATACAGCTCTGTTGTTAGGGAGATCTCCTAGGTGTATGCGTGACGACGCATTAGATGATTGATATGCATTGATATCTGTCATGAGATGCATTTATTGCATGATTATTAATATGATGAAGTGTGGTGTTTGACTTCATGATTGGTGAATTGTATTTTATGCATGAGTAGTATTAGATAGAGTGTATGGTGTGACTCTATGAACATGATTGATAGTTGAATGATGTGTAGTATAGATTTTATTTTGTACTTGTATGATTAGTTTTGAACTCTAGCTTACCCTTCTGTTTCCATGTGGTGGGATTGCGATGATCATACTTGGTATGGGAGCAGGTCAGGGCTAGCTTGGAATTGAGGTGACCGCTACGAGACGGGGAGTTTGATCCTCATGTTAGATTTACCATTTTGGGTAACGGTTTTGTTTATGCTTGACTGACACTAGAGAATATTATTTTTAGGATAACTGTACATATATGACGTTCTATTTTGTATTTAAGAAACTTAGTTATTTATATTTTTATCTATACCTGTATGTATGAGTTGTCCAACTTAATATTTCTCTTAGTTCACTAGTAATAATGCGATTCCACTAAGTGTAGAGACCATGACGGGTCGTTACAATTTGTAACAATGTCATGCAACTATGCGGTAGCTATAGTAATATAAATAAGTTCTACATCATTAAAATAATAGAAGAAATAATAATTTATAAAATATATAAATATTTAATTAATTAAAATATATTTTGAATGATAATAAAAAATAAAGTTGTGAGAATTTAAATTTAAAATAAATAATAGTTATATATACAAATACATGAAATAATTCGATAAAAACCATAAAGGTATAACTTTTTCCTAATGTAAGTCATATTTTTAGTTGATAATTATTATTGTATTTTTTAAAATACAATTCCCTCCATTTAAAAAAGTCAAATATAAAACCAATAGTATTTATCTATTAATATTTTGGATTGAAATAACATATATGGTATTGAATTTTAACTTTATCGTGTAAGTGATTTATATAAAAAGAATTAGAGAGTGAAAGGAATAAATGGAATTAATAACTGTCATAAATATTACGGGTATATATTGATACAAGTGAAATAAAAATAAAAATTGTAAAATATTTAAGAAAATTCTTAATTTTATCAATAAAAAAATATTTATTAGAAATAAAAATATAATATAATGTGTTTGTATTAAATTAAAAGAGTGTTCGCAAATAAAGTATATCTATATTTTATTTTTATTTCAAAATAAAAAAATTAATTTTGTTATATAGTGATTAATAATAAATTATATTGAAAGAAAGTTAAGATTAGTACATTTTTTTTAGTTGAACTTATGGTGAGTCAGATTGATTCAAAAGAGTTGTAATTCAAATTTACACTTTTGCATAAAAAGAGAGGTGATTGGAAATAACATTTCAAGAAAGAAAAATTGTTCAAATAATTTTTTAAAAAGTAAATTAAAAATATTTAGAGAAATTTTTTGAAGAAAATAAAAATGGGATGCATTTATTTTATTTTATTTTATTGATAAAAGAGGTTGGTCAACTAGTGAGCAACTTTCATGAAATTTATGGTCATTAAGGAGTTGTGTATTGGGTTCATGTACTTAATGAAGCAAATCAAGATGTTGATTTATTGGCCAAATATGGTTCTACAATGTTTTCATCTATTTACATTTTTTATGTTGCTCCAAATTTCATTGTAAATACTCTATAAGAGCATATCTCGCTGGTATTGCTTTTCTTAGAGTCTTCTAAACCTCTAGTTTTTTTTTTTTTCTTAAAGTCTTTTTAGTTCATAAACAAAATCTATCAAAAAGTTTGATCAAGTTATTTGTTAGTTGGGATTGGGTTGAAGTTGAACCCCGTAAACTGTTTTTCATTTTTTTTCTTTATCCCTTCTCTTGGTATTGGATTGTGATGAGATTTAGGGGTCGAGCGAGAGTTGGACCTCCTTTAGTTTGGGCCCATTTGGTAGAGTAAATGGGCTTCAATGAAGAAATGATTAGTTGATTCCTCGTCTTTCAAAGCAGAAAATAAATTCCCAAAGAGCGGGCTACATACGTTATACAGTGACAACTGAGAAACACAAACACTTTAGAATTTAGAAACGTTATTTCACAACCACGTGGAGTTATAGAATAATAAAGTGTAATAAAAACTAATAATTAAAAAATCAGCTATTAATATTTAATACTATAATTAATTTTAGATTTTATTTAATAAAAACTGATTTTATATAAATCTTAATTAGTTTTATAATTATATTTTATATTTTAAAATACATTCCCTAACTTTGTAACAGTAAAATCTCTTTTGTTTATGTTTATTTGCATTGGAAGGAACTAGGAAGTCAAATCAAAATCAAAATCACAACCGAACCCAAAACCTCAACGACAAATTTCCTTTTCGCGGAGGGACACTGTTCTGTTCGGTGTCCAGACAGAAAGAGACACTTTTTCCAAACCTCAAAAGCAGACCAGGTTTTTTTTCCCTTTCCTAAAACAAAACCTTCAAAACGCAAAACAAAGGTGAGCAAAAGAGAAAGAGGAGAAGGTAAAAAGAAAAATGATGGGTTTAGGTTGGGTGGCGAATCAACAATGCGGAAGGTGGAAAACAAGTCGTATATGGGGAGCAACGTTTCTGTGTTGCATGTGCTTAGTCTTCTTCACTCCCTCAATCCCTCGCTCTCCCAAGCACCACCAATTCGTTGACATGCGCAATCTTTTCGGTAACAGCATAGCAAATCATAGTTTTTCTTTTGCTCGCTTCATCCATGTTCTCATGATTTTGCCTTCTCCAGGAGTACCCAACACGTTAAATGTGATGACAAATTTCCCGTTTTTAGTTGTGGGTGTTCTGGGCTTCGTGTTTGCCTTGCAAGGAGGTGTCTTTAACATAAGGTTTCAGTTGCTGCGACCCTTGTAACGAATTTGGTTAATTTAATTCCTTTTCAACCGTTAACTGGCATTGTTGTGTTGTTGCAGTTCCCAAGGTGAGGTTTGGGCATGGGCACTGTTCTATGCTGGAATAGCAGGTGTGGCTTTTGGCTCTGCTTATTACCATTTGAAACCTGATGACTATCGTGTATTGTGGGACACTTTACCGGTTAGTTAAGTAATTAGTATTCTATATTTGTTCTGTGATTCTTTTCCTTTTCTATACTCCAATTGCTTTATTGTTTTCCAAAATGGGATGATTCATTGGGTGCCAATTGCCATGCGAGGGTTTCTGATTAAATCAACACATTTTAACACTCAAAGTACTCTTCTTCAAAGTTATGATCAAGTGGGGCCACTCCTTATTCTCTCGCTCTCTGTTCATTGTGAAGTTCACTGGTTTTGTTAATGGCAGATGATGGTGGCCTTCTCCTCCCTTTTATCTAGTTTGGTTGTTGAGAGAATTGGCCAGAGGATTGGGATGTGTTGTATGTTCGCATTCGTTGTTGCTTCCTTTCTTTGTGTACTTTATGAACGGTCAGTTTTTATTTTTTGATTCGTGCTTTTATTCTGGCTTGGAATGCTTTATAGATCAAGTGAAGGTGCTGAAGTAGCCAAGTTTTATGCTGAATTCTGTCTGCTAGTTGGTTGCAGAAATTATAATGATATTCGGTTCTGCATGATGTTCCAGTTGACTCTGCCTCTAGCTATTCCAGTAATAGCAATCATGTACCGCTCCAAATATACTCACTCGAGATATTGGTTTTTCTCTACAGGTAAGCCCATCTTTTTATTTTTGCTGAACAATTTTTCTCTGACTGCCCGTTCCTGCTTTTAATGTGGGAAGCTACTTAAATGTATAAATTTTAAATATTTAATAAATTCAAACTTATCGTGTCAGTGTATCATTCAGGGAGAAAGTGCCTAGGATACAATTGTTTACCAGCAACTAGAAGACTAGAACTAAAGCTTTGCTTAGTTAGTGTTTATCTGTTTATGATGTTATCTCTGTCGGGACCTGCTTTCATTGCTCTAACGAAGTTAGTAAAAAGGGTAGAAGACCGTAATAGAAATAAATGGTATGCCATTACCAGCTTTTGAGATACATTGTCTGTTTACTGAGTTTGGGTAGATATCTCTACAATCTTTTGAGTGTTTAATATGATAAAGGAAGCTGTCATTCCACTTCATAGTTGCATTGACTATAGATCTGATGTTTAGTAGTGGTTACCTTTTAAGGATTTTGTGTTCTAATGGAAAACTGTAGGATTTTACTAACAAGCTGATTAGAATTTAGATTTCTTGCGAGCTGTTTGGTTGGGATAAAGTTATTCTCTTTGATTAAGCTTAAGATTCAAATATTAAGATATTCTGCTCGATTATGCAAATAGGAAGCGTAGAAATCTTATATAAGATGCTAAATGTCATGAGACGGGTCAAGAGTATTGAAGTTGCATTGACAATTGTATGATCTAGAATATAGTTTCCTTTCCTGATTTCATGTGTATCCTAACACGGGGTACATTTTAGGGAATGCCAACACTTTATTAATGCTCTGTCCACTTTTATACTTTTCAAGGTCTGACACTTATTAGTACCTTTATTAGTTGACCTCGGAAACAATGATCATTTATGATGTACAACTTCCACTGTTTCGTGTTTGTAGGATATAACTCATTCAAGTTTTTGTAAGCCACCATTTGCATGGTATCGAATTACACTTTTATCTCTAATTGACAATGCCATGTTTTGATTATATTGGATAAAATATGCATGTCAGCGGTTTTGGTCATGTGAAAGTTGAAACATTCTTCACTTGGAACCCACTGCCCTAAAATGTGCTCTTTTCTTGATTCATGAAAATTTTAAAGAAAATAAAGCATCTGTTACCATATGAATTATGGATATACTAGTTAGAAAATTACCATATTCTATTATTTGTTTTGAATATGTTTGAAGCCTGAACTTTTTGGCACAGGGGTTTATCTGCTTGCAAAATTTGAAGGTGTTACTGACAAGAAACTGTACCATGTAAATAACTACATTATCAGTGGACATTCCTTGGAACACTTGGGCTTAGCTCTGATCCCAATTTTACTCACCGTAATGCTCATATACAGGGAACTTAAATTTCAAAGGTATTTGATCAAAATGTCTTGTGGCTATACTTAAAAATTTGTATATCAAATTTTCCTTGTTATACTCTACTTTCGAATCAATTATATTCACTGCACGCCTTTCTAACTGTTGTCCCCAGAGAATAGATGTGATCTCTTTTCCTTATACATTTGTTGACTTGATGACAGAATAGTTGATCTTAAAGATCGACCATGAAGAGGCAGAGAGAGTTGATGATTGTTCAATCAATTGCTTCTGAATGCCTGAGATATATTGCAGTAACAGGATGAGTGAAAATGCCTTAGCAATTAGGATTATGTAAACCATGGTCCACAAACTAGGTGAAGTCCTCTCTCACAACTTGTAAGTCTGACTAGTTTAGCTGTATAGTGGGGTCAAAATTCCTTTATCTTTATTTATAAAGGAATCTCTGTTGACACCAATCTGTTCTTGCCTGGTGGTTCGTCATGTCATGTGTATGAGAGCCCGTGCATTTCAGATTATGTAGGATATGTATGATAGAGGACCTGAGGTGACTGACAAGAGGTTTCTAACATGAATTGGTTTTTCTTTGTCATTGTTCATTGCCCTTCTGAAAATTGACGGCATTGATTCAACAACGTGAGGTTTTGAGAATCTTGTAATTAGTCTCTATTGAGTTTATTTTTCTTGAATTTGTTTATTCGGACGTGAGAATAACTAACATGCAGAAAGCATGATAGATTCTGTTGTGAACTTGCAACGGACTTAAGATTGCGGTCTTCTATGTTTGCTGTATGGATTTGTCATGGATGAATCCAGATGGCAATAGAGGATTCGGGATTCACATCAGCAAAGTTAGTGGCACGTGTTGGCGCTTTAGACGCACTTGGCAAATATATGCTTTCTTCACATGCTGTTGCCTTGTCCTTTTGTTTAACTTTTATGCCTGCATATTTTATGGCTCCTAACATATTCATAATCATGTGGCTTGTACCCGTATACACATGATTATTTATTTGTATTACGTTCGGTGATCTGTCGTTTACTTCTGGGTCCCCCTTCTCCATTATGGTAAGGAAGATCAAATTCGTTGTTTGGAACTTGATTTCTTTTTATTGTATTTTAATTTATGAAAAATGTTACTTGTGCTTACAAGATTGAAAGATTGTAATAGTTAAAGGAATCAGTAGCTCTAGCACTTGGTACATACATACATACATGCTTAAAAGCTTGTTCTTAAAACTAATCTGGACAAGCAAGTTTACTTGGATAAACTGAAAGTCAGTGTAGCTTTACTCATTGAACCGTATTGGGGGTGAATTTGAAATGCCAACTCAATAACATTTTTTTTTGGGTGATGACCAAGTCAAGAATTATAAATAGCATGGAACTGGATGTGGTTGTAGTGTTATGCTGAAATAAAAAAGAGCCATCTGTTGCTAGCGGGTCTCCAGCTCATGGAAATGAGTTTCCATTGCTAGTGGCAGCACCAAACGACTATGTCAACCGGAGAATTAAATCACGAGTATTTCAATCCTCCAAATGTAACTTTTGTACAAAAAAAGTTTTATATTATATTATATATATCCTTTATACAATCGATGAGATTGTAAAAAGAAAAGTTCGATGAGATCAAAATGGATTGATTTTACAAATTATGTTAAAAATATTATAGACAATCAACCCTTGTTTTCAATTTTTTCTAAGACTAGACTTTTAAATAAATAAATAAATATATTTATCATCTATTTTAAGAAAATTTTTAACGAGTGCCTTAGAAGACTATTTGGTTCAAAGAAGAAAGAAAGAGGGGAAGGAAAGAAATGAATTTGAAATTGTGTTTAGTTTAAAGGAGATAACTCACATTTTGTTTGGTTGACAATAGGAGAAAGTAAACTTTAAAAGTTAAATTATCTTTATATCTTTATACATTTCATTTTTGAATTTTAAAACAAATAATACTTTTTTATACTGCATTTCATTCATAATATGAGCATAGATATAAGTTGGGATGTAATAGAAATTATGTAAGCCAACCAATATGCATTTGACAAGTACACCAATCATTATAAATGATAGATTCGACAGAAGTTCAAGTTATCAACGCTTTAATGACTTAAGTTTATAATTGTATAATATAATTTTAGTACTAAACAAATAGTTTTATGAGAATTTGAAATTGTTTGATAAGAAATATTTAAATTTAGTGAAAATAACATAACAGTAAATTATGATGAATTTTAATTTAAGAAGAACAATCAAAGATTGATTCATTGACTTTTTCTATGTAAAACCTCTTAATTTTTAATTTAATATTATAATTATATAGTTAATTTGACAACCTGCAATTATATTTAAATCATCTAGGTTGTTTAAGAAAAATTCCAATTCATTCATAATGTTTGTTAAAGAATCCTATGTTAAGGTCAAGGACTAAAAGTCGATTGATAAAATTTATTCCAATTCTTTGGTAATAAATGTTATCATCATTTTATCTAGCACATAATTTTAAAAGGGTTCCCAAATCTCAATTAAAATTATAAAATTATGAAGAAGTTGATAAAACCACAAGTATTAAGTACAAGTGTAAAACGATTAATTGAATAAATACTTTATTGAAGAAAAAACACAAAGAAAATTACGTACAAGTAACTATCCTAATCTCCAACAATAGAAATTTAGTCACTCATGATTAAGGATTACACAATAAAAGATTGACCCTTAAACGATTCGTGATTACGATAATAATCTCATAGAAACATTCTCTAATCTCTTTAGAATTATGCTAAAAAGAATATTGATAATTGAGAATGAGATATAGACTTCCTAAAGATCCTACTTTTATAACAATTCTTTTGGACTTTTAGGTGTGATACACTTGCAAAAGTGTCTATGTGGCTCTCTTTAAGTGAGCATGTGCGTGATTCTAGGTTATTCTCTTACTTGACTTACACAAAACGCTCTTGTGATAATTTTAAGTGAATTTTGCTCACTCAAAACACCTAAGTAGTTGCCTATGAGCTAACATGTGTATACCTTTAGGAGTACTCTCTCACTTGATTTATTCAAAGTGAGTTGTTAATCGCTTTGAACGATTTTTTCTAACTTGGAGCGAACATTTTATGTGGCTTGAATTGGAATAATAGTTCCCCTTCGAAACTTGTAACTTTCAAATTATTTTTTTCTTGTGTTATATCTCAACAAAGAAAAATATTAAAAATACATTATATTTAAATAATTAAATCCTAAATTGAAATTAAGTCTGCATTATGTGTTTTGTGGTAAGAAAAAAGACTTAGAAATATAATATATATTACGGATTCTTAAATTAAATAAAAGTTATATGCATATTTAACGATTATTACCGGCACATACAACAAAAGCTCTAGCCAAGAAACAAATCACCGAGTTGGCTTCCCTAGCAACAAAACTGGCTTCACAGTTTGGTAAACCAGGTAGCATCTTAGAGCAATTATTTAACAAAGAGATGAATTCAGAAACATGAGATGATACATTTTTGATAGCAAGAGCCACTCTTTGACAATCTATTTCAAACAAATCAGCCTCGAATCCCTGATTTTGAGCCCATAACAGCACCTTCATTAAACCAAGGGCCTCACAAGTAGAAAAAAGGCATATTATATATTAGACATTATAGTTAAAATTTTTATATCCACTTCTCTCTCTTACAAATTCTATCGATATTAAAAGCAAGCTAAAATTAGACGGGAAGAATTTTTCTCACCTCCATTCCTTCTTTCCTCTTTAACAAAACTGAATCAAATAATAAATAAAAAGTCTCCATCCCTTGGCATTTCCTTCTAACTAAAACTTATATAAGAATACATGTATTTAAGAAATTGAAAGTGGATTTTTCTATTGAAAAGTGTAACATGATTTCTGATGCAATGCTAGCATAAGCTATACTACTTTTTTTTATTTATTAATTTCTTAAATAATATCTTTAGGAAGTTGATTAACAAGATCATAAGAAATATAGTATTTAATTATATATATA